CTAGAGGTCGTGAGAATGTTTTTAGTTACACACCACTTAACCAACAGACATACACATTCACACGTTGATTTGCTTCATGTTTTGACTACTGTTAGGGCCAGCTGCAAAGCTGGTAACAGAGACGGTTGACGTTTCTGTGTAGTATGGGGCTAGCCCAACCGAGGTGATAAAATGTACAGGCCTGGTGGGCTCGGGGTCTTCCATCTTACATCTGCCTGCGTGCATGGTGGAGGTGCAAGATACTTGAGCATGTAATGTTAATTTTACCTGTGATCCTTTGAATAAATCAGCACTGTTTTGAAGTTACTTGGACTGCCTTGTCTCTGAGTTAGCAATGGTAACAAGAACCATATCCTACAGTCCTAACCTCAACATTTGTCTTCTGACATACTTAACCTGACCCCATCTTTACTCCAAGCCTAACCAGTTATCTCTGCTATGCCATCTTAATCCTAATCCATAAAACACTATTCTAACATTAGAGAAGAAACTTTATTTAATGTCATTGTAACACGTACAACAAAATTGTGTTTTTGGAGCCAAGGGCCATCACAGGCAGCTTGGGGGCCACAGTGTCTTGCCCAAGGACACTTCGACATGTAGACTGCAGGCACCGAGATTTGAACCTTCAACCTTCTGGTTGGGAGATGACCGCTCTACCCACCGCACCACTGTCGCTGCCCCCCCCAAAAAGAGAAAGAGTCTGACCAAAAACTGGCACAAATGACAGTAACTATGGTTCCATCGCATTGTGTCTATGTTTGAAACATACATCCGGCTTTATCAAAGCCTTAGTAAATCCGGTCCTGAGCGTCATCACTGAAAGCAGGACACCTAGATGTTGTACAGTACAGCTCTAACGTGTGTTTGTAAGGAAGAAAAGTTCCAGTACCTTGCACCCACTGGCTGCTTGTGGTAATGGTGAAATGCTCCCCATAACTCGACCGAAAAACATGCGAGTTCCGGGCCTCTGAGGAGGCTTTCATTCCTGACAACACACAAACACACACATCATATAAATGCTATTAGTCATACTGAAGACAATACCAAGATAATGGTCTTGTGCAAGGTTTTCTGAACTAGTAAAACTAAGATCATGTACCATGAAAATGTTATGCAGGGACACTGTGTCAGAGGATCACTTTCAAGTTTTCTCCATGCATAAGATAACGTTGAAAGCAAAAATTTAAAATTGATTCCCTACCCTGATAAACAGCGTGATCCTCCACAACAGAGGAAACATCACCTTTTGTCACTATAAAGGTCCAGGGATGCCTGTAGAGAGAACAGAGAGAATACATAAAGCAGGGAAAAGAGGAAACAGATGATAAATTAAACAGAGGAAAGGAGAAGGGAGACAGGGAACAGCAGTGTCTTGCTCACTGAACTCCCAGTTGCTCCCGGTGATGTCACCGGTGTGTGAGTGCATGAGTGCTTGGGAGTGCGAATGGGTGAATGGCTGAATAATGTGAAAGCGCTTTGAGTGTGCTGTAAAAGCGCAGAAAGGCGCTATACAAGTATAAGACCATTTACCATTTACCAGATAATGGAGTGAAAGAAAGGACAAGATGACAGAGACGAAATAGGTGAATAAGAAATGAAGTCAGCAAAGTAAAAAGAACAGGATAGATAGCAGCAGGTGAGAACTGAGAGGATCTACATGGACAGGCTGCACGCACACCCACACACTGTGATACTTGTTAGCACATGCACAAATAGAGGCAGTGCCATTATAATTTTAATAATGTTGGCGTTAAGAGTGAGTAGGCAGTCTGGGTAATTAAATGAGCTATACCAGCATGCATCACTCTGTCAGGAAGGAATGCTGTGCATGTGTGTATCTAAGATAAGATATATCCCTTAAAACTTTGTCTTAAAATCTATTGGTCCCCTATTTCATGATAAAAAATGAAGTGAATTTTGATACAATTTAACCTCAATTTTCTGCACATCAGACAACGCATTTTAACTTGGACAGTTTATTGTTTGATAAAACACATAAACTATGCATGTTTCTCACATTTGAGAAGTTAATGTTGAATATTTGTACTCAACTTACACATTTCCAGCTTCTTTAAATACACAAATTAACTCAAAAGATAAGCCTTAAGGCTGTTTATACTCACATCTAGGGAAATAAACTGTTAACATTGTCATCACAAAAAGGAGTAAAATGTGATATGCTGGTGTTATTCACCTAATATATAATAATATATCCATCCGTCCATCCATTTTCCTCCGTTTTTGCGGAACCGGCGTCGCAGGGGCAGCAGTCTAATCAAAGATGCCCAGACTTCCTTCTCTCCAGACACTTCCTCCAGCTCCTCCGGGGAAATGCCGAGGCGATTTGAATGCTCTAACCCCTTTGCACAATTGCTTTGGTGATGTTAAACATTGGCTATCCCAGAACTTCCATCCATCCATCCGTTTTCCTCCACTCATCCAGGACTGGGTTGCGGGGGCAGCAGTCTAAGCAAAGATGCCCAAACTTCCCTCTCTCCAGACACTTCCTCCAGCTCCTCTGGGGGAATGCCAAGGCGTTCCCAGGCCAGCCAACACACATAGTCCC